GATAATGTAGTTACAACGTCACTGACAATGTAGTTACAACGCCACTGATAATGTAGTTACTACGTCATTGATAATTTAGTTACTACGTCACTGATAATGTAGTTACAACGTCACTGATAATGTAGTTACTACGTTACATATAATGTAGTTACAACGCCACTGATAATGTAGTTACTAAGTCACTGATAATGTAGTCACTACACCACTGATAATGTAGTTACTACGTCACTGACAATGTAGTTACTAGGTTACTGATAATGTAGTTACAACGCCACTGATAATGTAGTTACTACGTCACTGATAATGTTGATTACTACATTACTGAAAATTTAGTTTCTACGTCACTGATAATGTAGTTACTACGTCACTGATAATGTAGTTACAACGTCACTGACAATGTAGTTACTACGTCACTGATAATGTAGTTACTACGTCACTGATAGTGTAGTTACTACGCCACTGATAATGTAGTTACTACGCCACTGATAATGTAGTTACTACGCCACTGATAATGCAGTCACTACACCACTGATAATGTAATTACTACGCCACTGATAATGTTGTTACTACGCCACTGATAATGTAGTCACTACACCACTGATAATGTAGTCACTACACCGCTGATAATGTAGTTACTACGTCACTGACAATGTAGTTACTACACCACTGATAATGTAGTTTCTACGTCACTGACAATGTAATTACTACACCACTGATAATGTAGTCACTACACCACTGATAATGTAGTTACTACGTCACTGATAATGTAGTTACTACGTCACTGATAATGTAGTTACTACGCCACTGATAAAGTAGTCACTACACCACTGATAATGTAGTTTGTACGTCACTGACAACGTAATTACTACACCACTGATAATGTAGTTACTACGCCACTGATAATGTAGTTACTACACCACTGATAATGTAGTTACTACACCACTGATAATGTAGTCACTACACCACTGATAATGTAGTTTCTACGTCACTGACAACGTAATTACTACACCACTGATAATGTAGTCACTACACCACTGATAATGTAGTTACTACGTCACTGATAATGTAGTTACTACGTCACTGATAATGTAGTCAGTACATCACTGATAACGTAGTTACTACACCACTGATAATGTAGTTACTACGCCACTGATAATGTAGTCACTACACCACTGATAATGTAGTTACTACACCACTGATAATGTAGTCACTACGCCACTGCTACTGTACTCTACTTTTCTTTCACACTTTGAGAAATCCCACTCGCCTGCATGCACGTCTTCTCTGCTCCACGTGGAGTTGAGAATTTAGATGATGTTGCTGCTACAAATGCCCAAATGATAAGCCACTTTGTTGAGCTATCAGTTGTGGGCCAGGTCCCTTTTGAAAAACAAGCTAATATCTCAGTGGGATTTGTCTGGTAGGATGTGGGATGGTTCCGTTTAATTTGTTTGTGTTTTGGCGATGTGTTTACCTTTCTTGCACTTTGCACTACTGCCATGTTTTTGGAACTTGTTTATTGTTGTTGTCGTAACGTGCCCCGACTGGACATCTGTGAAAAGAGCTTTATAGCTCATCGGATTCGTCCGGGATAAACACTGATTCTGGTTCAACAGTATAGTACCGTACAAGCAAACTCCGGACTTCTTTCCACACGCAGTGTCTCATCAGCAGTAGCAGCAGTCAGGCTTGAATGATTCAATGCTGGCTTTTTAATTGTCAGACGTTATAGGTCAGATAACCCTTTGTAGACTGGCTCCTCCCCTCTAACTGACTCCTCCCCCAACGGATAACCCCGCCCCCTTGTGTTGAATGACCACGCCTACTCCCGCCTGGCTCCGCCTTTTCCACTCACTCCCCCGCGGGCAAAAAAATCCCCCGTGTAGCCTTAACAGAGTGTAGGGGCAAGTGCTGTTAACCAGTAGCACCTATCAAGGCCGGCACGGCACACGAATGGATGGGTGGCCAGCACCACGCCCGACCGCCTTTGTCTCCCTAAGTGGCACACAGCACCGGGTACTAATTTTAGGCTGAGTCGACCTATAGGGGAGACCCATGACCGGTTTGGATAAATCGTCCCTCGTGGTGTTGGTGGTGGCTGTGAGTGGGAATCGAACTCGTGTCGCCGGGTTCTTATTATGTAAATTGTTTCTCGTTATGTATGTGTTCATATTTTTTTCACAATAATAGGTTATACCCTCTCTGGGCAATACAACAGTTGTGTTAAGGGGCCGTCATTAAATGACGTCACGCACCTAGGTGGGGGGGGCGGGGTCAGACATTTGTGACGATGTGTGACAGGGGGGGGGGGGGGTTTGAGAAATGTGACGTCACATCAAAATGCGCAACTTTAAATAAATATAGACGACACGTTCTACTTAATTAAATATACTTTTTAATAAATGTTTTCTCCTATAACATCAGAGTGCAGAGCCACATTAAATACGCGCTACAATGACAATAGTTTAAAGCGATTTGAAATCATGTTTTATTTTCAAAATGGAAATATTGTTTTGTGGAGGGGGGGGGGGCAGAGCTTTGTGACGTCATATTTGAGGGGGGGGGTCTGACTTTTTGTGACGCCGTGTGACGAGGGGGAGGGGGGGTAAAAAAAATCGTCCAAAATCGCGTGACGTCATTTATGGACGGCCCCTAACCACACACACTTAGTGGTGACCATGCAAACAAAAACCACACTCTCTGGTAGTACACGATGGTCCATTGTCTATTGAAGCTGATTTGGTCCACACCACAGACAGCATTCTTTAGAGCCTCGTCTCAAGCGTTGTTAGACCACAGGACGCCAAGAGGCGGGACAGCACAAAGACCGATGCCGCTGTCAGGACATTGAGATCTGGGGGTGTGACCAGCTTCATCATGCTACATTCAATTATTTTTAGTTTTTTTTTATTTGCGAAGCAGTGTAGATTTGTCTCTGTATCATCCGTGTAAGGGAATCGTTCATTCATTTTGGGGTTTTTTTTTTCGATTTAAAGCTTTCGCGACTGCAAGGATTCATCTTCTTTGGTTCTTTCGGTAAAGTCACCACCACGTAGAATGAGAATAAGATAATAAAATAAGACGATAAAATTCTCACGACGTTTCGGCCACAACACAATCGCCTCTACGGGGAGGGATTCCACACAACCGAAGAAGGCTACTTGTGTTGTGGCCGAAACGTCGTGAGAATGTTATTGTCTTATTTTATTATTTTATTCGTTAATTTATGTTGCAGCGTTGCCGGATGCAATTACATGAATGACGCTCTATAAAATGACATCATTATTATTGTTGTGAGTCCGTCGTGCAGCGCACTAACCACTGCGCCACCGCTCCCTACACGACCCTAGCCCCACCCCCCAACAAGCAATGACTCCGCCCCCTTTATTATTTGACTCCACCCCCCTCCTCGTCTAGCCCCGCCCCTTCGAGTCACTACCCATTTTCCCCCTCCCCTCCCACACACAACCGATGACTCTTCCCATTTATTTTTGACTCCGCCTCCCTTCTCGTCTGGCCCCGCCCCCTTCTACTCCTCCCCTGTCCCTCCCATCCTCCCCTCCAATACCAATGCCCGCCATTCGCCACCAAGGGGCCGTCCATAAATGACGTCACGCGATTGTGGACGATTTTTGACCCCTCCCCCTTCGTCACACGGCGTCCCAAAAAGTCAGACCCCCCCCTCAAATATGACGTCACAAAGCTCTGCCCCCCCCCCCTCCCAAAAATAAATCATGCTTCAAATCGCTTTAAACTATTGTCATTGTAGTAGTGCGTATTTAATGTGGCGCTGCACTCTGATGTTGTAGGAGAAAACATTTATTAAAAAGTCTATTTAATTAAGTAGAACGTTTTGATTTAAAGCTTTCGTGACTGCAGTAATTAATATTCTTAGCTCTTTCGGTAAAGTCACGTTGAAGGGAAACAATAAAATAATAAAATATATAAAACAATATGTTTTATGTGAAACAATATATTTTATTATTTTATTGTTTCCCTTCAACGTGACTTTAATTGTTTCCCTGCAACGTGACTTTACCGAAAGAGCTAAGAATATAAGTAGAACGTGTTGTCTATATTTATTTAAAGTTGCGCATTTTTATGTGACGTCACATTTCTCAACCCCCCCCCCCCCTCGTCACACATCGTCACAAATGTCTGACCCCCCCCTCCCCCCCCCATAGGTGCGTGACGTCATTTATGGACGGCCCCCAAGTGACGGTGACGTCACCACGACGCCTGTGCCAGGCTAGGTGCACATCGAGGCCACGTGAAGTGTCCGAAGGCTTGCTTAGAGGAGGAGGAGGTCACGGGACAGACCCAGCAGGTGCCATCGACCGATGGGTGACCGGTAGATGCACCACCACTTGTGCGCCCCCTACTGTGCAAACGTGCTGCACTTTAGCCGCCCGGCGCTCCGCTCGTTGTTGTGAGCGTCGCTCCTCTGCCCTCCGTTGTTGCTGGAGGGCGACTGCCTCCAACTGCCCAGCAGCAGCAGCGGCGTCCTTTACGAGCCTCCTCCACAGAGGTCGATCTTGACACCGCTGGTACCGGTCATCGGCAAGTCCGCTCAGCTCCACATCCTCCCGTAACCGCATCAGCTCCATCTCTTCTCTAGCCCGTGTCGTGCCCGTTTAGCACTCTCTATGCGGTTAAACAGAAGCTCCTTTGGGCACACGGTGGCTGGGCATGCGGGCTACGTGACCCAGCCAACCCAGCCTCGCCTGCCGGAGGTGCTCACCGATGGGAATGTGTCCAGATCTGTCAAGGATATGTGAGCTCCTCACACACGCACAACCGATGACTCCGCCCCATTTCGTTAACTGTGACTCCGCCCCCTCTTTGCCCCGCCCCCCCCAACTTCTCCCGGCCCCGCCTGCTCCTGGCCCCGCCCCTCTCCTGGCCCCGCCCCCTCCTCGCCCCGCCCTCCTCCTCGCCCCGCCCCCACCCATCCATCTATAAAAGGGTGGCTATCGCCCCGGGACCCATTTGGCTCTGCGCGACACCAAATCACAACGGCGCTACCTTGAGCGCGAAATTCACCGGTAGGTCTAGGGGGTTCACCAACACGTCTGTTCTCTTGTAAAACATTTCTTTATGAAACTATATATATTTAATCTTATATTTAAAGCTGTTTCATTAATGAGAGCAAAAAAAAATCAATAAAAAAATAAACATTTTTTTTCCTTCTATTTATGTAATCAGCCTGTGTGTGTGTGAGAGAGAGAGAGAATAAACATCGTTATTTAAAGATATACAATGGTTTAACGAAGTTTATTTTCGCTATGACAGAATGTCTCTCTCGCGCGTGTAGGGCAGAGGAGGTTAAGGGTGCAGCCCTGCAAGTGCCTGCCTCATGGCACCGCTGGCCGGTCGGCCCCCTCCGCTCTCGAGAGAACGGCCCCGCTAGACGCGTGTCGACCACAATGGAAATAGCAAATTAAGCCCAAGCCGTTCTGGGTTTTTTTTGTTCATGGATGGAACGATGGATGGACTTGGCCCCGTCGTAAGAACGTGGAATTACACGCTGGGTGCGGAGGGGGTGCGGTCAAGTGGGTCGGCCACATTCACGTATTTGTGTACGGAGCGGTTTGGAGTAACGCGTTACAAACGATGCATTCATGTAATAGGATTACATGCCGGCAAGCGGGCACCTGTATTACCATGCAAGTTACATTATAGTTGCTTGGCATGGGGGTTGTGTTGATATAAGATGGTTTAAGGACTATAATTGTTTTAACTATGATACACGAATTAAAATAATGTAACACAGACGCGCATACGTACAGACGCGCATACGGACACACCCAACACACATTCGCATCACATCGATACACAAAGACGCAACAAAGACAAAGATCCCCCGTATAGCGTGAGCAGACTGTCGGGGCAAGTGCTGTTGGCGAGTAGCACCTACGAAGGCCGGCACTGTGGCACACGAGGGGGGTGGGTGGCCAGCAGCAGCAGCAGCACGCGCGACCGCCTTTGTCTCCCCCGAGTGGCGATGTTCACACACCGTACCGGGGGGTTTACTCATTTGAGGCCGAGTCGACCTAGGGTATAGGGCTCAGGTTACCGGTTCAGATAATCGTCGCGCCGGTGTTAGCCGCGAGCGAGTAAAATCGAACTCGGGTCGCCAGGTTCGTAGCGCTCACCGCTACACGATCACATCGGCACACGGACTCGTATACACACGCACACACACGGCCGCACAAAGACACTCAACAGCACACGCATCAAACAGGCATACAACACTCCCTGCCAACACACACTCACTGACTCACACACTCACTGACTCACACACACACACGGCCGCACAAAGACACTCAACAGCACACGCATCAAACAGGCATACAACACTCACTGACTCACACACACTCACTGACACACACACACGCTAATCAAAACACAGTGCGGCAAGACAAATGACATGCGTACAGACGCGCATGTACACACCTGCGCAAGCGTATACACACACACGGACACGGACAATTGTGCACATTTTATTACACCCCTTGAACACACAGTCTTAAACGCATCATACGGGTCCACACACTCATCAACGTATAAAGACAAAGATCACCCGTATAGCCTCGACAGACTTTGTAGGAGCGCGTGCTGTTAGCGAGCGCCACGCCCGGCCGCCTTTGTCTCCCTCGTGCCGATAGTCGCACACCGCACCAAGCTACTACTTATTTGAGGCTGAATTGACACACTTCCAAATACGCACGCGCACAGCAACACAGATACACACCCACACACTCTATCACACACACACAACAACAACAACGGCCATTCGCCACTAAGTGGCGGTGACGTCACCACGACGCTTGTGCCAGGCTATGTGCACCCTGAGGCCACGTGAAGTGTCACACACACACACATATACAAAACACGCATATATGAATTACAAACACGTACCATCAATACACTAAACACGTACCAGCAAACACACACACACTTTAAGTACGCTTACACGGAGCCTGTAAAGCGCCCTTTAGCACGCTCATAAATAATTTAATTAGTCAAACGTCGTATTTTTAACCTGTCCAGGAATAGGCGGCGGTCAGGCGCCCGCTCCGTCCTTGCCTGGGTCAAACCCATGGGTTGGACCCTTAAAGGATCGTGTCCTAATAGGGTCTTCGTGCAGGGGCTAACCGCTAACAGTCACCGCAGGAGGGCACGTGTCCGACCTACTACATCCGATGGCCGCTGTTTCATGTCATTGCCTGTGGTATTGTTGTTGTAATTGCCACGGCAATTCGCTGTCCGTATGTTGAACTTAATTGGCTCGGTACGTAGCCAATCGTGCTGGTCGAAGGTGCACGGGGTGGGGGTCGGGGAAGGCCAGCAAACTAAAAACACAGAGAACGCATTCTTGAGTCTTTCGGTAAAGTCGCGTAGATAGGTTAAAAGAAGATACTTGTAACAAAATAATATTTTTTGTTATTTTCTTTTTTCGTTACCGAAAGACCCAAAGAATGTGAATTCCTGCAGTCACGAAAGCTTTTAAGTCAAGATTTACACAGAACAGCAGTTTCTAAAGACGCTAGCGTTTTCCCACCCCCCACTCCCTCCCATCTAGATGATGGTTTAAAAGCGAACGGATGATCCCAGTGGCTTGCTAATATCGTCGGAAAGGAAGAGCGTTCCGGACGGCCGCCGCAGAAGCGCATCCCAAAGATCCGCTGCGATGCAGCGTTGTGACCTCTTCACTGGAATTCCAATCCCGAACTCGCCAGTCCTGTTCGACCTCCCGGCGCGCCAGTTTGAAACAAGCCGGCGGTCTAAAATTTGCTTCGCACCGCAGGTCGCGTGCGTGGTGGGGGAACGCGTGGGTCCTCCACAACGCCCTCACCAGACCTCCTGCCCAGCGATGTTATTATTTTTGAGAATTTTGGCCCAAAAAAGTGGACCGTGACCCGACGGGCGAACGATGTGTCACGGGACCGCGAACTTCCCGCTTGTATAGCATTCTATTTTTTTTTAAATGCGCCTTAAAACCCTATTTATATCATCTTGATTGGAAACTTTCGTGACTGCAGGAATCCATACTCTTTGGTTCTTTCGGTAAAGTCACGTGGGTATAAAATAAAACAAATCACGACGTTTCGATCGCAACACAAAGCGGGTCGTCCTCAGGCGGAAGAAATAATCATAATAATAATCCAACAAGTGGAACTGAACTATCTACATACGCTTACGCTTATTCAACTTGTAGTTCATTTCGTAAATTATTCTTTAAAATGTATTTATGATGTAATTCTTAATTTAAAGCTTTCGTGACTGCAAGGATTCATCTTCTTTGGTTCTTTCGGTAAAGTCACGTAGAATGAGAATAAAATAATAAATTGATCAAATAAAATAACAATGTCACTCCAGCGCTGTCCTACCAGACAGTCTCGTCCCTTCACCTGATGAAGGCCGCTTGTGTTCTGGCCGAAACGTCGTGAGAATATTATTGTGTTATTTTATTTTATCAATTTATTATTTTATTCTCATTCTACGTGACTTTAACCGAAAGAACCAAAGAAGATGATGTAATTCGTTTCGTGCTGAGTGTCTGCTGATCCTTGATAAAGATCCGCTATATACATTAAATTATTATTGTTATTATTATTATTCGGGGCAGCCCGATGTGGTTCGAACTGCGAACCCCCCTATCTGCAACAAGCGGGTGAACTCACTGCTGCCCGTACCCCCCCCTACGGTTCTCCCAATCGTTGTTTGTCGTGTGAGTTGTCTCGCCGTTGTACGGACTTGAGAGTACGATGAGAGTTCCCGTGAGTGACGGGGCAGCACAGGGCCTGTCGTGCACCTGAGTAGTCGCAGCAGCAGCACCCCCCCGCCCCCTGTTCATTAACCGCCCCCCCCCCAACCCTGAAAAAATTTGTGGCTACATTTTTATTTAAAAAAATTGGGACTTAGCGAGGAGCGTAGAGCTGTGGTTTTCACTCGTTTTCAGAGGTGGCGGCGGCGGCGGCGATGTGGGGGAGGGAGAGACACTTTGGCCGATGAGGCACGGCACGCCACGTCAAGCCACCCAACGTTGGGGGGGTGTTTGTAACAGCAGCACGATGATGAGGATGATGATGGGGAGGTAGGGGTGGTGTGTTTGTCACATTTGTGTATCGTTATGTGCGGGGGGGGGGGGGGCACTTAAGGGGTCACCAGCGGCTCGTGGGGCGTAACATTGAAGAAGGACCACATTCATCTGGCTACCATGAGAGATTCGTTCATGAGGCTATCCACATATACAAACACAGAGACAATTTCAACCGAGAAGATGGATTCTGGCTTAGCAATCATTGGAAGGATTTGATAAACCATTTCGGGTCTTAATTGATTGATCACGCTTAAGGTGGCTTTCAGACCGCATCCATTATTTTTCGTCTTCCCCCTCCTCTTTTCCGAACATAGATGGACTCGTCCATCTGAATAAACTGTCAAATCGCTATCCGTGGTGCTAACGTTAAAAAAAACGCCACTTTTTTAAAATTTGGTTGTTGTGGTTTTCACACCTGATGATGATTGCTTGTGTTGCAGTCGAAACGTCGTGAGAATTTTATTGTTTTATATTTCTATTATTTTATTGTTTCCCTCCTACGTGACTTTACCGAAAGAACCAAGAATATGAATCCCTGCAGTCACGAAAGCTTTAATCAAAAAAGGACCACTGGGTAAGGCCAGCAATGAGACAAAGGGCTTGAGAGAACAACAGTTAATCATGATTTGTTAGCGAGCAATGGGAGCACGAATTCAGTCGAAATAAAGTTGACGATTGGGAGGAGACAGGTGATAAGATATGAAAAACTTTGAAATATTCGTGGAAGGAGCTTATAGGTTTTATGTTTGACCATGTAAGACCCAATGAGCTATAGAGCGCTCTGTCGGAAGTGACCAAGCCACAAATCGTAGTGCAATGGAGTCTGCTTATCACGTGGAAATGAACAGCAGTCAAATACTCTAAACGTCTTCTTTGGTTCTTTCGGTAAAGTCACCACGTAGAATGAGAATAAAATAATACATTGATAAAATAAAATAACAATAATGTTCTCACGACGTTTCGGCCACAACACAAGCGGCCTCCATCAGGTGATGCGCTGTCCTCCAGACAGTCTCGTCCCTTCACCTGATGAAGGCCGCTTGTGTTGTGGCCGAAACGTCGTGAGAATATTATTGCGTTATTTTGTTTTATCAATTTATTATTTTATTCTCATTGTACGTGACTTTACCGAAAGAACGAAAGAAGATGAATCCTTGCAGTCACGAAAGCTTTAAATCGAAATACTCTAAACGTGTGGATAAAGAAACCGGAGGGCCTGGAGAAAAATCCACGCGACCACGTGGAGAAAAGAGAGAGACACTCAAACTCCAAATATACAGCAGCAGCAGGCGTCAGGATCGGGATCGAACCCACGACCTCCTGTATATCAGGCGAGGCAGTTTACATCTCCTAGCCACAGTGATGATGATGATGAGATAGAGACACTCAAACTACAAATATACAGCAGCAGCAGGCGTCAGGATCGGGATCGAACCTACGACCTCCTGTATACCAGGCGAGGCAATTAACATCTCCTAGTCACGCGATGATGATTATGATGAGAGAGACACGCAAACTCCAAATATACAGCAGGCGTCAGGGTCGGGATCGAACCTACGACCTCCTGTATACCAGGCGAGGAAGTTAACATATCCTAGTCACGTGATGATGATGATGAGAGAGAGACACGCAAACTACAAATATACAGCAGGCGTCAGGGTTGGGATCGAACCTATGACCTCCTGTATAACAGGCGAGGCAGTTAACATCTCCTAGCCACCGTGATGATGATGATGAGAGAGAGACACACAAACTCCAAATATACAGCAGGCGTCAGGGTCGGGATCGAACCTACGACCTCCTGTATACCAGGCGAGGCAGTTAAAATCTCCTAGTCACCGTTATGATGATGATGTGAGAGAAAGAGAGACACGCAAACTCCAAATATACAGCAGCAGGCGTCAGGGTCGGGATCGAACCTACGACTACCTGTATACCAGGCGAGGCAGTTAACATCTCGCCACCGTCATATCTCTATGGCAAGCAATCGTATATATCCGAATAATGCTGAGAGAATAGCATACCTGTGAACTCATTACGGTTTACCCCGTATGCACGTACAGGGAAATTGAGTTTTCAGGTCCATACGGCGTACAGCCGTTTCAATACGGGTACGAAAAATTGTCTTGTATATTTGTTTGTGTTTCTCCCTTGTGATGGTGACTTTGTGGGATGAACGTTGAGATTGATAAGGGGCACGGGGTGACCAATGAGGTCGTAATTGGTCTGTAATAAGGTAGAGAGCACTGGTAAGGGGTTGACAGGTTTGTAGTGGTGAGTGTACTGGTGGTGAGTGTAGTAGTGGTGATTGTCTGTTTGTGTTTCTCACTTGTGATGGTGACTTTGTGGGATGAACGTTGAGATTGATAAGGGGCACGGGGTGACCAATAAGGTCCCAATTGGTCTGGGGGCGTCTCCGAGAAAAAACCCACGTCTCATCAACACATCTGAAAGTGGACACCCCCCCCACCCTCCCCAGTAGCGTGTCTGGTTTGCTTCTGCGTTTGGAATGACAGTGTTCCCTTTCGAATGATCTTCACGGACACTTCACTTAAATATGTAACGCGTGAAGAAAACGCAACGGAGGGTAAAAACGATGGGTCTGCGAGTCTCCCAAGTCTCTCTGGTTTTAGAAGTTAGTATGATTGAGTTTTTTTTTTATTTCTACCTACGTGACTTTACCGAAAGAACCAAAGAGAATGGAAGTATGATTGGTTGGTTGGTTGGTTGATTGACGCAACATCGTTCCACGAATGAATTATTTGAACGTCTAAATATTCTTGGTTCTTTCGGTAAAGTCACGTAGAAGGGAAATAATGAAATAATAAAAATCAAACGTGATAAAATTAAATTCTCACGACGTTTCAGCCACAACGCAAGCAGCCGTCCTCAGGTGAAGGAACAGAGCTGTCGGACGGCTGATTGCGTTGTGGCCGAAACGTCGTGAGAATTTTATTTTGTTACGTTTGATTTTTATTATTTTATTATTTCCCTTCTACGTGGTGACTTTACCGAAAGAACCAACAATATGAATCCCTGCAGTCACGAAAGCTTTAAATCGAACGTCTAAATGTTGACTCAAAAACTTTTGAGACTGCAGGAATTCGTATTCTTTTGTTCTTTCGGTATCTACGTGACTTTACCGAAACAACCAAAGAATATTGAACGTCTGTTTACGTCGCCAGAACGTTAGAGATTGCCATGGGCTTAAGGAGAGCGAGGCCTGTACCTAGCAGTGGATAGATCATGGCTGATGGTCATGAATAAGGGGCAATCTATTTCCGTTTCAATAGAAGGGTTTTTACTGGTAGGAAACGTCGTGGACTGGCAGCCCAACCGGGATTAATTCTCACAGGAGGCAAGGGATTAGTTGTGTATGTCTGTGGATGTCTGTCCACGTGGGAAAGGTGGGGCTGGGTGGAGAGGGGAGGGTGGGGAGGGGCTGGGTGGGGAGGGGCTGGGTGGGGAGGGTGGGGCTGGGTGGGGGGTGGGGCTGGGTGGGGAGGGGCTGGTCACCCCGTGGTGCCCTTATAAAACTCAACGTTTAACCTACTCACGCCGGCTTGTGCCCGCCCTCACAGTCGGGCATATTGTGCGGAATACACCACGTGGTGGTGCCGCCATTGACCCTGGCCATTGACCGAGCAACCCAACGTTCCTACCAGCTCCCTCCGCAGGAGAATGTGTTGTAAATGTTTTTCGGCCCACAGCCTCTGGTCACCGAACACAGACGGTGATCACCGCATCGCGTGGCGCTTTCAGAAGCGCTTCTGCGGCCGTCTGGAACCGCTCCTTCCTTCCGATATTATATTTACAAACTCATTTCTTCAGAACTGTTTTTTTGTTGTTAATTTCGTTGTCCCCCCCCCCCATACACCTCCGATTAACACGGTTGGCTACGTACGGTGCGAAAGAAGTTCAACGTACATACTTACAGGAGTTGCAGATAATAACGTTGCGGATAGGAAGTGGTCAACACAGTCAACTGCGGTATCACGATAACGCAACCGGCAACATGAATACAACTTCACGCACGTGTGCCTGCGTGATGGTGAGGAGATGTCAAACCCCGTGGACGGTTTCATGAGTGTGTCTAACAGCCAATACCGTAATTATAATATATATTGGGGGGGGGGGGACACACATCCCCCCCCCCAAAATGCAAATATGCTCAAAATGTCCCCCCCCCCCATATTGCTATAAATTAGATTTCTGTTTATATGATTGTGGTTATGGTTGTACTTTCTTAATCCCTAATCTCTGCCATTACATACAATGAAACATGCAAATGTAAACAAAAAGTAAAAACAGAGCAATGTAATACAATATACACAATTAGATATTATTGTCAAAAATAAAGAAAAAGTCCATCCCATGTGTTAGTGATTTTTTTAAATATTTTCGGCAGGAAATTCGTTTTCAAATTTAGAATTTTTTCTGGGGGGGGGGGGGGGACCCCCAGACCCCCTGGAAGATTTGGTCCCCCCCAATGTTGACTCCATGGCTACAGCCTTGCTAACAGCGGTATTATTTTACAGGGTCGCCCCAAGGGATGGATCGATTGACGGGGGTCGAGACTAATGGTGGAGTGGCAGCCAAGGCATGGAACGCATCGCAAAGGACGTCCGCCGAGGAGATGAGGCTTACGAAGTTAGCACGGGTGTAAGGCGCTCGCTCTATGGATTGTCACATCGCAAGATCTTGCTTAGGGTGGGGAGGTGAAGGGGTAGATTTAATCTTAGCAGTGGATTGACCATGGCCGATGACAATGATGATCTCTGGTAACGATGCACTTCAAACACGTGTTTCAGAAACATTCGACCAGAAGGCAAGGATGCGTTCGATAAATAAACACGAAACAAGTGTCACGACGACGTGCAAGCCTTCAAATTGGCGCACTATTTTTAGGCGGGGGGGGGGGGCGCTGTGCCCTGACAGGAATGCACTCGTGGAGGGATTCCTGAGTGATGCGTCCCCTGATTGGGGAGCGCTGCTGATTGGCCGAGCCGACCGGGAACAGCGTGCACACACGCACGTGCTTTTTTTTTTACGGCGCCCTCAATATCCACTGCTGGATGATGAGCGCCACCACATGTTGCGTCAGTCACGTGGGTTGGCTGGCCATACTTCACCACGCCGACCAGTGCGAGTGGTGCGGGGAGACAGGGCAAGACCGGTTAGGATATCACCTTGCCACTGATGGTAACCATTGCCAGGAATATAACCACATGTTGTGTCAGTCACGTGGGTTGGCTGGCCATACTTCACCACGCCGACCAGTGCGAGTGGTGCGGGGAGACAGGGCAAGGCTGATTAGGATATCACCTTGCCACTGATGGTAACCATTGCCAGGAATATAACTCGAAAAGAGTCACTGGGTATATAGGGCACTGGGCTAACCACTGCGCCATCATTCCACCCCCCACCACGTACATATTGACTGGTCTAATTTTTCGATACGTACATTAGATGTTCTCATTTAATATCATACCCGTCAATCCATACAGGTTTACCCGTATTTTTGTACAGGGTATTTGAATATTCAGGTGCATACGGCATACAGTCGTTTCAATCCGAACAAAAAATGTTTTTCAGCTATTTGTTTCTCGTTTGTGATGGAACTCTGTCGGATGAACGTTGAGATTTATAAGGGCACGGGTTGACCAATAAGGTCCAACCAATAATGTAAAGATTGTCATTGTGCCTTGGCTCTCCAACACACCGGTGTGCTGTACTAGTGACGAATTGGCATGTTCGAAGATGAAATGCCCTTTCTTTAAGCAGCTGAGCGCATATTTATTTTTAAAGCGCCAATAGATACTACTATAGATTCAGCAGGTACTACCATAATCATTATATACTGCTGCAGCCAGTAGTTACTACTATAGAGTCGGTAGATACTACTGTAGTCGGTAGATACTACTATGGAGTGTAGAGTTAGTAGTTACTACTAGTCAGTGGATACTACTATCATTAGTAATTACTACTAGAGTCGGTAGATACTGCTAGAGTCTGCAGATACTACTAGTCAGCAGATACTACTATAGAGTCGGTAGATACTACTATAGATTCAGTAGGGACTACTAGTCAGTAGATACTACTGTAGTCAGTAGTTACTGCTAGTCGGTAGATACTACCATAGTCGGTAGATACTATAGTCAATAGATACTAGCCAGATTCCACTAGTCAGTATATACTGCTGCAGTCAGTAGTAACAACTAGTCAGTAGATACTACTGTAGAGCCACACTACTATAGTCAGTAGATACTACTGTAGGGTCAGTAGATACTATTATAGTCAGTAGTTACTTCAGTCAGTAGATACTAGTCAGTAGCTACTACTGGGCTCAGTAGATACTACTGTAATCATTAGCTACAACTACAGTAAGCAGATACTAGTCAGTAGATACTATAGTCAATAGATACTACTATAGAGTCGATACTACTAGTCAGTAGATACTACTATAGTCACTAGATACTACTAACTCTATTGTATGTAGGATATGTAGAAATATATCCCTACGGGGGGGGGGGTAAAATATTTTTTAGGGGGGGGGGGTCGACAATTTTTGGAAGCCTTTAAGATCAACTATTTACCCCCCACTTATAATATTAGTTTGACTTCTGTAAGTCTCTTATAATTTAATGGATAGACAAACGGCCCGCCAGGCTTTGACACTAGCTTCGTATTTGTGTATGTTGCGTTTGAGAAGTTTTGAAATATACTTTTTCATTTGAAATAATTTATTCTCAAAAGTAATTATACAAATTAAATATTTGAATTATACTAAAAGCTCAATAAAAACGTTATTTATTGGTTTTACAATTTTGCAAAAGCAACGGCGATGATCAAAACAGATGTCACGCAACTTTTGGTAAGAAGTGACGCCATAGAAGCGACTTCACTTCCCGTGATGCCACATTTTCCACGTCACTCTAAATATATATTTTTTAATTCATCTGAACAGGGAAATCATCCCTCGTGGTCACACAATGCAAACACGCGTCTCGTCTCCCTGCCCAAGCGAGTGCGGGGCGTTGCATCTTGGTTGGGGATCCTGTGCCAGTGGTGACAATTCCACATTCCTATGGCAGAATTAAACTAGACTTAAGTGAGGTGGTTTCAGTGCCAAGTATAGTATACAGACCTAACTCGGGATCAGCAAAAACAAGAGTCAATGGCATTGATTGGATGACTTTCACTTTAAAACATAACTTCATCAACATTTATATATACAAACATTTTCCACTTGTACAAAGCATGATGCGACTCATCTCTCTGTTGGCAGACCAGAGTGTCGTGGTAATTCCACATTCATATGGCAGGGAAAAGTTTTATCCACAGGACACACTCAAGTGGTGTTTTCATTTTATCTCCCCTACTGGCATGATGGGGTTGAGTTGTGACCCTCGAAAGATTTCACCTCACAACCTTCCTACTGTGAGAGTGGGGAATTATGAACACAGCAACGCAACATGGGCTGATGAAAACGAAGCATTTACAACGTACATTTCAGCGACAAATGTAAAATATATCAAGTGTGTACTAACATAACTTAAAACAATAACTTTATCGTAAAGCCGGCGTTGATGTAAAAACACAAAACTAAAAACGCGGAAACAATGACAATGGCCGTATCGTGTTAAAATCAATATAATCTTCGGCAAGCTTGTTTTTGCGGGGTTTTTGGGCCATCACTTCTTCGTACGAATCCACCTGTGAACAGAGAAGACGCACGTTTGCCGCACCGAACAAGGATAATACACCAATAACACTCCGTTTTGTCTGTGTGCAGATTCATGATCGATCATTGGAGCCATTGGCCTGAAAAAGTCTCATCGGGTATCACCCAGGGTAGAGAAATTGCCAACGATGATTTTCCCGACACATTTTATCTCCAAATGTAAGTAATGCTATGGTGAACGTCTTCCGCAGCGCACGTAGCCGCCCGTACTAACTCGAGGTGGTGATGTACGTTACGTTGCATTCATTTCGCACCGCACACAGCCGACTGTGCCAATCGGAGGTGATGGTGATGTACGTAGAACTTCTTTCGCACCGTACGTAGCCAACCATGCTAAATCGAGCGGCGTCAGCCCGGCACGGCTCAGGAGTAACACGCACTGAACAAGTCCCCGATGCGCGTCGGTGTTACGTATGTTAACGTTGAAACTTCTTTCACACCGTACGTAGCAAACCCTGCTAAAAAACGGAGGTGCAGAGATGACGTGGCGATGTTGTGTCCTCGGGAGTGAGCGAGCGAGCGAGCTAGCGAGCATCACGCGCGGTGAACTTGTCATTAACCCCCGGTTCTACTTGGGGGCCCCCCACACCCCTCGAGTCAAGACTCACTGGTCAATGAGGCCAGCAACGGCATCACGGTTGGTCGGGGGCTCAGCGCCGCAAAACAGCCAATGAAAAACCACTAGGCGTACGGCTCGAATGTTGACGTCGGAAGGGAGGTAATCAAAACCCTACTCGCCTGGCCAGGCGACAGTCAAGCGTCGTGTGTGCAGTCAGTCTTTTTTTTTTGGTGCGTGCGCTGCACGATTTACCCCACGGTGCCTCAAAGCAACGTGTTGAGTCTCTCTTGCACGGCGTTGAACACCTCCGTGAAGAGCGACTCGCGGGAGCTTCTGCCGTCCAAGTGAACTGCAAAATACATTTTTTTTAAAAATCACAACGATGCAAGCAAATAATAATAAATAAATAAAGATCGCGCTGCTGACGGGGGCCTACTCGGGAAGTGACCGATCGATTTCAAATGATATTTCAAGGCCCGTGATGCACGGAAAAAATCGTGCGTGTGACAATTATTTTTGGTTCGTGCAAATGTCACCTCTAAGCAAATGGGAACAGGACAGAACAGACGTACAACGCAGTTGGACAAAATAAACAGTGCAAATGTGACGAACATTAATTAGCGCGGTTAACGTGGGATGCCAAGGTGATTTTTTTTTTTATGTGGTTGCCTGCCATTTGGTATTTGGATGTCCTATCAACCCCTCTGCAAGGGAGAGGTTGCTCACCCCTACTCTAGATGCACGCACCTAGATCCCTTTATAGATGTACAGTCTGTTGGGACGAGAGCTGTTAAGCAAGCGCCAAATGAAGGTCAGCACCACGCCGGCCACCTTAGTCTTCCCCATGCCGATGTTCACACCGCACCGGGTACTTATTCAAGCCCGAGTCGACTAACTTGGACTCGTACATCACATGTGTATGCATGTTAAACTTGTTTCGCACCGTGTGTAGCCAAACCGTGCAAATCGGCACTGGTTCGAGCCAGCCTGAATGCCGACGAGAAACGTCAAAACCAGTGCAGAATGCCCAGGACAGATTCAAATACTCGCCACCAGTGACGGGCCGTGAGCGGGAATCGAACGAGAGTTGCCGGGGTTTTTTTTAACTTTATAACGTAGCGGCGCTAGCCCAGTGCACTCCAAGTGTACACACGCGCGTGCACTCAAACACGCGAGCCCGCGTACCAATATTGGCGTCCAGTACATTCATCTGAGCGCGGTTTTTCAGGTACATGGGCCACACGTGAGCGTCAAAAAGTCCCGGGGGGTCCGGAACAGTGTAGTTGCGAGTGCTGCACACACGCACGCACGCACACACGCACCGCACAATTGGGATTATACACAGCAATCAGCCCCACGTTCTTACCAAGCTGAATTAAATTGACACCTGAAACGTAAATTTCGATTTAAAGCTTTCGTGACTGCAAGGATTCATCTTCTTTGGTTCTTTCGGTAAAGTCACGTAGAATGAGAATAAAATAACAAATTGATAAAATAACATAAATATAATTCTCACGACGTTTCGGCCACAACACAAGCGGCCGAAACGTCGTGAGAATATTATTGTGTTATTTTATTTTATCAATTTATTCTTTTATTCTCATTCTACGTGACTTCACCGAAAGAACCAAAGAACCTGAAACGTATTTTTACCTTCTGTAAATGGGCATATTAAGCATTCGAATCAGATTGAAGGGTGTTTTCGTCCATTTTTGGGATCTTTCCCATTTTGCACCGATGTCAAATATATTCGTGCCAGCAACAGTGCGGCGCGTCACTCGACGCTACGCGACGCCACTTTTTGGCGAGAAGAGCTCAGAAGTGACGTCGTTAGCGCGACGTCCCATCCGGTGCTTGTGCCACGCCACGCCACACCGAAACGAAACTCCGGACCACCGCTCCCCTCGCCGCTCTCGCCTTGCACTGAGGCTCACGGCGGAACCCCACGCGGCGGCGGCAGCGTCACTCAAAATCTGCTTCGGACACCGAGCTCTGAAAACTGTCGCAGCCTCACGTCGGCTCTCTGCTGTCGCCCCCTCGGTGTGCAGCCCTCTAACCCCTTTGCACATCGGCGACGTTAAATGCACTGCTACTTTCAAGAGCGATCCAAAGGCCTCTCTGTGTTGGGTCAGGCTTTCGAGCAGCCCTGAGCTCGCCTCCGCACCTCTGAGTTGTTGACTTGTCTCAGAACTCGGGCGCGTTATGAACGTCATTTATTATCATTTGAAATGTAAAATCGAGGCACATTTTTTTTTTATTGGGGGGCGACAGGGAGGGGGGGGTAGGAAACTGGGGCACATTCCTAATGCATATCTGAAATGGATCCAAACCAAGGTTGTATGACACAATGTCTGTGAGCCTCTCAGGGGGACCTTCAGAAAAAAATATATCTCACTAGAACTGAGACTGTTACAACAAAATGATCAGACAATTCGCCTCATTCCCATCTGTACCTTCATATAAAAAAAATATTTTACACATCGCCATCAGCCACTCAGCCTTCTGGGAGTGCATAATCACAGCAGAATTGAAAGTTTGGGGGGCAGGTGTGAAAATATAAACATAGTTCAATACAGTTTTCCCTCGCTTTATGCTCGTTCTGTTAGTGCCATTTCGCGCCTCATGTGGGACTAACCTATTTCTACCCAAAATGCACGGAACAGCAAGCGATTTGAATTCGCTTGTACGCACCGCTCGGCAGACAATTGTCCCTTGCCGTTCGCTTGGTGCGCCACATTTCTTTGGAACTCGTCCACCACACAAAGCGAGGGAAACCTGTGCAACTCTGCCGAGCACAGCCCCCCGCTGAAGCCTCTAACGCCTATTGTTGGCGTGGCGGTCACGAATCCAAGCCCCTAATGCAGGCTCGAGCCTGCTTCGTTTCCGAGATCTGACGAGATCCCACGTGCATTCCGGGCGATGCGGTCAACAGGCGGATCACGTAAAGTCAACGTGGCGTGCATTCGGAGGCCATGCTCATTTCCACATTCACGTGGTTGGGGGCGAGTCTGCCCGTGGGACTGTTGACTCCCGAGAGGAGATGATTCACCCCCGCCCCCCCCCCCCCCCCCCCGACACGCCAATCAGGATTTTGACCTCTCAACCTTCTGTTTGCACTCCGCTCACCGAGCCACTTGGCGAGATAAGTCAGCGAAGCAGTCTGCAATTCAATTGGTACAACAGATTTAGCCGTCCACATTATAGAATTAATAAAGCAGGCTGTGTTTGACCATAGAATTTCTAAAGCAAATGAGCTGTCCAAGACGACATTGAATTCATAAACTAGATAAGGAGGCCGTGTGCGCGGTGATTGTAGAATCGGTAGACTGGACAATCACCTGCGACGTAATTTACACTCTTGGTAAGGAATGCTGATGAAGAACTTCTGGTCAAGGAGATCCATAAGGGGCCTGTGAACGACACGAAGAGGGAGACACTGAAGCACGTTCCTTACAGAGTTGCACCATCACCAGTCTGGCTCCCTCCCATTTCCCCGACTACAACCACAGCACGCTCTCTCCTGCCACGTTCCATTCCAAACCTGCGAATTCACGACCCCAATTCGTTTCCATCCAGTACACACGTCCCACTCATCGCAACCCTTTTTTTCTACTCAAGAGATTCGAAGTTCCTAACCAAAAGGCGCCTTTGGTAGCCCAGAGCTGATGCTTAGACGAAGTTGTTGCGCACAGCGTTGGGTGTACGGTGCTATTTCAGGAATATTTTGATGTTTTTTTCCTGTATTTTCTGTTTGCACAGTCACACAAAGTCACTTTAAGATGTTTTCTTGTTCATGTTTTTTGTTTGTTGCGGTTGCACCCGATTCAAGAGCCGAATGGCTCACAGGGCAATACCAAATAAATGAACTATGAACTTGTTATTTAATGCCGAGTCGGACCTACTGTGACCCGTATCAAACAGAGAGCCCTATAAGCAACTGGGAGCTCACAGGTCCAGGATCGGTTCAGGTTTTTGTCGCAGAGATTGGCCACGAGCGGGATTCATAGCGCAGTGCACGCACCAAAAACAAGCACACGACACTCGTGCATACAAAGACAAAGAGCCCCCATATAGCCCGAACAGACTGTTGGAGCAAGTGCCGTTAGCAAGCACATGAGAGGGTGTGGGTGGCCAGCAACCACACCCCAACAACCTTTGTGTCCCCAAGTGGCGATTCTTACACACTGCACCGGTTACTCATTTGAGGCCGAGTTGACCTAGGGGAGGCCCAAGGACAGATTCAGATATCCGTCACTGGTGTTGACCGTGAGTGGGGAATCGAACTCGGGTGGCCGGATTCGTAGCCCAGCGCGCTGACCGCTGCACGACCGCTCCCCTCCAATACACACACGCGTACAGATTCCACGAGCCCTCCACTCACGGGTAGGTGTAGAGGAGGAAGCCCTCGACGATGAGGATGTGCAGGCGGGAGTCTGTGTCCTTGTCCTCAATCTCAGTCCCCGTGGCCTCCACGCCGTGCGACAGCGCAAACTTGCGTGGGTTTTCCACCCAGGCACGCACTGTCGCCACCATCGCCTCCATGTCCAGGGCCTCCAGGGCTGTGTACGCCCAGTGAAAAGGTGGCGGGTGGGTGTGGGTGAGGAGGATGAGGGAAAGGATGGATTAAGGAAGTCAAGGTGGGCGGGGGGGGGGGGAGGGGTTGATGAGAGGAAAGGAAGAGGAGGGAGATGTCAGGGGAAGGAGATGAAAGGACGGCCGATGAGTGGGAGATGGTTGTGAAGGGGGGCACGTGAGGGAGGAGAGGGGAGAGGAGGGAGAAATTAGGGGGAGGACCAACAGGGCATATTAGAGGTCTTAAAGGCTCTTCAATTGTCATTGGCAAATTGATACACGCCTTTTGAGCTGTGCATACATGCAAGCACTTACTATCGTACTGCTTGAATCCATCCGCACCTATGGCAATCTGGTCCTGGGGCTGCAGAGAGACACACCCAGAGGGAGATTAACACATCAGATGCATACAACACGAGGTGGGGATAGATAGAGATATATATAGCGTCTACAAGCGGCCGCATCTCCAGACACTGTTGCGAAACAGTGAGGAATATATATTTTCGTCATAGACAAAGAATAAAAAAAACAATGGTCTTGGGCATGGGACTTTAAAAAAAGAGGGAAGGGTGAGTCGACAACATGGATGGCTGGGCAAAAAAAAAGGGGCTTCACAGATGATGGGAGTAGCAGAGCAGACCCACAGAGACAGACAATAATACGTACAGACGGCTGCCAAAGAAAGGCGACAGATAAACAGATACAAAAAAAAAGGCTTCGTCATATCGAGGAAAGAGTGATGTTACTCCACAAGACAGACACGGTATAGAGATGTCAAACAATGATGTTTAAATTTCACAAATCGGAGTGATCCAACAAAGGGCCTTCTCAGAGGACTGGAGATCAGCACAGCTGGCTGATACGGATGGGGTCATCCCCATGTCTCACATCCCTGTTTCAGTTCCAAATTTCTTACAACCCCATGGCTCATATTCATCTCTGTCGTCTCTTGTCCCCCGTGTGTCTCTCTCGTGTCCCCCGTGCGTCTCTCTCTTGTCCCCCGTGTGTCTCTCTCATCCCCCGTGGTGTCTCTCTCTCGTCCCCAGTGGTGTCTCTCTCTTGTCCCCCGTGTCTCTCTCTCGTCCCCCGTGTCTCTCTCTTGTCCCCCGTGTCTCTCTCTTGTCCCCCGTGGTGTCTCTCTCGTGTCCCCCTTGGTGTCTCTCTCTCGTCCCCCGTGTGTCTCTCTCTCGTCCCCCGTGTGTCTCTCTCTCGTCCCCCGTGGTGTCTCTCTCTTGTCCCCCGTGGTGTCTCTCTCGTGTCCCCCGTGGTGTCTCTCTCGTGTCCCCCGTGGTGTCTCTCTCTCGTCCCCCGTGGTGTCTCTCTCGTGTCCCCCGTGGTGTCTCTCTCTCGTCCCCCGTGGTGTCTCTCTCGTGTCCCCCGTGGTGTCTCTCTCTTGTCCCCCGTGGTGTCTCTCTCTTGTCCCCCGTGGTGTCTCTCTCGTGTCCCCCGTGGTGTCTCTCTCTCGTCCCCCGTGGTGTTTCTCTTGTCCCCCGTGGTGTCTCTCTCTTGTCCCACGTGGTGTCTCTCTCTCGTCCCACGTGTGTCTCTCTCTCGTCCCCCGTGTGTCTCTATCGTGTCCCCCGTGCGTCTCTCTCGTCCCACGTGTGTCTCTCTCTTGTCCCACGTGGTGTCTCTCTCTCATCCCCCGTGTCTCTCTCTCTCGTCCCCCGTGGTGTCTCTCTCTCATCCACCATGTGTCTCTCTCTCGTCCCCCGTGGTGTCTCTCTCTCATCCCCCATGTGTCTCTCTCTCGTCCCCCGTGTGTCTCTCTCGTCCCCCGTGTGTCTCTCTCTCGTCCCCATATGTCTCTCTCTCGTCCCCCGTGGTGTCTCTCTCTCGTCCCCCGTGGTGTCTCTCTCTCGTCCCCCGTGGTGTCTCTCTCTCGTCCCCCGTGGTGTCTCTCTCTCGTCCCCCGTGGTGTCTCTCTCTCGTCCCCCGTGTGTCTCTCTCTCGTCCCCCGTGGTGTCTCTCTCTTGTCCCCCGTGGTGTCTCTCTCTTGTCCCCCGTGGTGTCTCTCTCTCGTCCCCCGTGTGTCTCTCTCTCGTCCCACGTGGTGTCTCTCTATTGTCCCCCGTGGTGTCTCTCTATTGTCCCCCGTGGTGTCTCTCTTGTCCCCCGTGGTGTGTCTCTCTCTCTCTCTCGTCCCACGTGGTGTCTCTCTCTCGTCCCCCGTGGTGTCTCTCTCTTGTCCCCCGTGGTGTCTCTCTCTTGTCCCCCGTGGTGTCTCTCTCTCGTCCCCCGTGTGTCTCTCTCTCGTCCCCCGTGTGTCTCTCTCTCGTCCCCCGTGGTGTCTCTCTCGTGTCCCCCGTGGTGTCTCTCTCTTGTCCCCCGTGGTGTCTCTCTCGTGTCCCCCGTGGTGTCTCTCTCTCGTCCCCCGTGGTGTCTCTCTCGTGTCCCCCGTGGTGTCTCTCTCGTGTCCCCCGTGGTGTCTCTCTCTCGTCCCCCGTGGTGTCTCTCTCTCGTCCCCCGTGGTGTTTCTCTTGTCCCCCGTGGTGTCTCTCTCTTGTCCCACGTGTGTCTCTCTCTCGTCCCACGTGTGTCTCTCTCTCGTCCCCCATGTGTCTCTATCGTGTCCCCCGTGCGTCTCTCTCGTCCCACGTGTTGTCTCTCTCTTGTCCCACGTGGTGTCTCTCTCTCATCCCCCGTGTCTCTCTCTCTCGTCCCCCGTGGTGTCTCTCTCTCATCCACCATGTGTCTCTCTCTCGTCCCCCGTGGTGTCTCTCTCTCATCCCCCATGTGTCTCTCTCTCGTCCCCCGTGGTGTCTCTCTCGTCCCCCGTGTCTCTCTCTCGTCCCCCGTGTGTCTCTCTCGTCCCCCGTGTGTCTCTCTCTCGTCCCCCGTGGTGTCTCTCTCGTTCCCCGTGGTGTCTCTCTCTCGTCCCCCGTGGTGTCTCTCTCTTGTCCCCCGTAGTGTCTCTCTCGTCCCCCGTGGTGTCTCTCTCTTGTCCCCCGTGGTGTCTCTCTCTCGTCCCCCGTGTCTCTCTCTCGTCCCCCGTGTCTCTCTCTCGTCCCACGTGGTGTCTCTCTCTTGTCCCCCGTGTGTCTCTCTCGTCCCCCGTGGTGTCTCTCTCTCGTCCCCCGTGGTGTCTCTCTCTCGTCCCCCGTGGTGTCTCTCTCTCGTCCCCCGTGGTGTCTCTCTCTCGTCCCACGTGGTGTCTCTCTCTTGTCCCCCGTGTGTCTCTCTCTCGTCCCCCGTGGTGTGTCTCTCTCTCTCTCTTGTCCCCCGTGTGTCTCTCTCGTGTCCCCCGTGTGTCTCTCTCGTGTCCCCCGTGGTGTCTCTCTCTTGTCCCCCGTGGTGTCTCTCTCTCGTCCCCCGTGGTGTCTCTCTCTCGTCCCCCGTGTGTCTCTCTCTCGTCCCACGTGGTGTCTCTCTCTTGTCCCCCGTGGTGTCTCTCTCTCGTCCCCCGTGGTGTCTCTCTCTCGTCCCCCGTGGTGTCTCTCTCTTGTCCCCCGTGTGTCTCTCTTGTCCCCCGTGTGTCTCTCTCTCGTCCCCCGTGGTGTCTCTCTCTTGTCCCCCGTGTCTCTCTCTTGTCCCCCGTGTGTCTCTCTCGTCCCCCGTGGTGTCTCTCTCTTGTCCCCCGTGTGTCTCTCTCTTGTCCCCCGTGTGTCTCTCTCTTGTCCCCCGTGGTGTCTCTCTCTTGTCCCCCGTGTGTCTCTCTCTTGTCCCCCGTGTGTCTCTCTCGTGTCCCCCGTGTCTCTCTCTCGTCCCCCGTGGTGTCTCTCTCTCGTCCCCCGTGTGTCTCTCTCTCGTCCCCCGTGGTGTCTCTCTCTCGTCCCCCGTGTCTCTCTCTCGTCCCACGTGGTGTCTCTCTCTCGTGTCCCCCGTGTGTCTCTCTCTTGTCCCCCGTGTGTCTCTCTCGTCCCCCGTGGTGTGTCTCTCTCTCTCTCTTGTCCCCCGTGTGTCTCTCTCTTGTCCCCCGTGTGTCTCTCTCTTGTCCCCCGTGTGTCTCTCTCTTGTCCCCCGTGTGTCTCTCTCTCGTCCCCCGTGGTGTCTCTCTTGTCCCCCGTGTGTCTCTCTCGTCCCCCGTGGTGTCTCTCTCTTGTCCCCCGTGTGTCTCTCTCTTGTCCCCCGTGTGTCTCTCTCTTGTCCCCCGTGTGTCTCTCTCTTGTCCCCCGTGGTGTCTCTCTCTTGTCCCCCGTGTGTCTCTCTCTTGTCCCCCGTGTGTCTCTCTCGTGTCCCCCGTGTCTCTCTCTTGTCCCCCGTGGTGTCTCTCTCTCGTCCCCCGTGGTGTCTCTCTCTCGTCCCCCGTGTGTCTCTCTCTCGTCCCCCGTGGTGTCTCTCTCGTGTCCCCCGTGTCTCTCTCTCGTCCCCCGTGTGTCTCTCTCTTGTCCCCCGTGGTGTCTCTCTCTCGTCCCCCGTGTTGTCTCTCTCTTGTCCCCCGTGGTGTCTCTCTCTCGCCCCCCGTGTGTCTCTCTCTCGTCCCCGTGTGTCTCTCTCTTGTCCCCCGTGTGTCTCTCTCTCGTCCCCGTGTGTCTCTCTCTCGTCCCCCGTGGTGTCTCTCTCTCGTCCCCTGTGGTGTCTCTCTTTTCCCCCGTGTGTCTCTCTCTTGTCCCCCGTGGTGTCTCTCTCTCTCGTCCCCCGTGTGTCTCTCTCTCGTCCCCCGTGGTGTCTCTCTCTTGTCCCCCGTGGTGTCTCTCTCTTGTCCCCCGTGGTGTCTCTCTCTCTCGTCCCCCGTGTGTCTCTCTCTCGTCCCCCGTGGTGTCTCTCTTTTCCCCCGTGTCTCTCTCTCTTTTCCCCCGTGTGACTCTCTTGTCCCCCGTGGTGTCTCTCTCTCTCGTCCCCCGTGGTGTCTCTCCCGTGTCCCCCGTGTCTCTCTTGTCCCCCGTGGTGTCTCTCTCTCTTGTCCCCCGTGGTGTCTCTCTCGTGTCCCCCCGTGGTGTCTCTCTCTCGTCCCCCGTGGTGTCTCTCTCTCTCGTCCCCCGTGGTGTCTCTCTCTTGTCCCCGTAGTGTCTCTCGTCCCCGTATGCCTCTCTCTCGTCCCCCGTGTGTCTCTCTCTCGTCCCCCGTGTGTGTCTCTCTCTCGTCCCCCGTGGTGTCTCTCTCTCGTCCCCCGTGTGTCTCTCTCTCGTCCCCCGTGGTGTCTCTCTCTTGTCCCCCGTGGTGTCTCTCTCTTGTCCCCCGTGGTGTCTCTCTCTCGTCCCCCGTGTGTCTCTCTCTCGTCCCACGTGGTGTCTCTCTCTCGTCCCCCGTGGTGTCTCTCTATTGTCCCCCGTGGTGTCTCTCTTGTCCCCCGTGGTGTGTCTCTCTCTCTCTCTCGTCCCACGTGGTGTCTCTCTCTCGTCCCCCGTGGTGTCTCTCTCTCGTCCCCCGTGGTGTCTCTCTCTTGTCCCCCGTGGTGTCTCTCTCTCGTCCCCCGTGTGTCTCTCTCTCGTCCCCCTTGGTGTCTCTCTCTCGTCCCCCGTGTGTCTCTCTCTCGTCCCCCGTGGTGTCTCTCTCTCGTCCCCCGTGTGTCTCTCTCTCGTCCCCCTTGGTGTCTCTCTCTCGTCCCCCGTGTGTCTCTCTCTTGTCCCCCGTGGTGTCTCTCTCGTGTCCCCCGTGGTGTCTCTCTCTCGTCCCCCGTGGTGTCTCTCTCGTGTCCCCCGTGGTGTCTCTCTCTTGTCCCCCGTGGTGTCTCTCTCGTGTCCCCCGTGGTGTCTCTCTCGTGTCCCCCGTGGTGTCTCTCTCTCGTCCCCCGTGGTGTTTCTCTTGTCCCCCGTGGTGTCTCTCTCTTGTCCCACGTGGTGTCTCTCTCTCGTCCCACGTGTGTCTCTCTCTCGTCCCCCGTGTGTCTCTATCGTGTCCCCCGTGCGTCTCTCTCGTCCCACGTGTGTCTCTCTCTTGTCCCACGTGGTGTCTCTCTCTCATCCCCCGTGTCTCTCTCTCTCTCGTCCCCCGTGGTGTCTCTCTCTCATCCACCATGTGTCTCTCTCTCGTCCCCCGTGGTGTCTCTCTCTCGTCCCCCGTGTGTCTCTCTCGTCCCCCGTGTGTCTCTCTCTCGTCCCCCGTGGTGTCTCTCTCTCGTCCCCCGTAGTGTCTCTCTCGTTCCCCGTGGTGTCTCTCTCTCGTCCCCCGTGGTGTCTCTCTCTTGTCCCCCGTGGTGTCTCTCTCTCGTCCCCCGTGGTGTCTCTCTCTCGTCCCCCGTGTGTCTCTCTCTCGTCCCCCGTGGTGTCTCTCTCTTGTCCCCCGTGGTGTCTCTCTCTTGTCCCCCGTGGTGTCTCTCTCTCTCGTCCCCCGTGTGTCTCTCTCTCTCTCTCGTCCCACGTGGTGTCTCTCTCTCGTCCCCCGTGGTGTCTCTCTTGTCCCACGTGGTGTCTCTCTCTTGTCCCCCGTGTCTCTCTCTCTCGTCCCCCGTGTGTCTCTCTCTTGTCCCCCGTGTGTCTCTCTCTTGTCCCCCGTGTGTCTCTCTCTCGTCCCCCGTGTCTCTCTCTTGTCCCACGTGGTGTCTCTCTTGTCCCCCGTGTCTCTCTCTTGTCCCCCGTGTCTCTCTCTCTTGTCCCACGTGGTGTCTCTCTCTCGTCCCCCGTGGTGTCTCTCTCTTGTCCCACGTGGTGTCTCTCTTGTCCCCCGTGGTGTCTCTCTCTTGTCCCCCGTGGTGTCTCTCTCGTGTCCCCCGTGGTGTCTCTCTCTTGTTCCCCGTGGTGTCTCTCTCTTGTCCCCCGTAGTGTCTCTCTCTCGTCCCACGTGGTGTCTCTCTCTCGTCCCCCGTGGTGTCTCTCTTGTCCCCCGTGGTGTCTCTCTCTCGTGTCCCCCGTGTGTCTCTCTCTCGTGTCCCCCGTGTGTCTCTCTCTTGTCCCCCGTAGTGTCTCTCTCTCGTCCCCCGTGTCTCTCTCTCGTCCCCCGTGTCTCTCTCTCGTCCCACGTGGTGTCTCTCTCTTGTCCCCCGTGTGTCTCTCTCGTCCCCCGTGGTGTCTCTCTCTCGTCCCCCGTGGTGTCTCTCTCTCGTCCCCCGTGGTGTCTCTCTCTCGTCCCCCGTGGTGTCTCTCTCTCGTCCCACGTGGTGTCTCTCTCTTGTCCCCCGTGGTGTCTCTCTCTCGTCCCCCGTGGTGTCTCTCTCTCGTCCCCCGTGGTGTCTCTCTCTCGTCCCCCGTGGTGTGTCTCTCTCGTCCCCCGTGGTGTCTCTCTCTTGTCCCCCGTGTGTCTCTCTCTCGTCCCCCGTGGTGTCTCTCTCGTGTCCCCCGTGTCTCTCTCTCGTCCCCCGTGTGTCTCTCTCTTGTCCCCCGTGTGTCTCTCTCTCATCCCCCGTGGTGTCTCTCTCGTGTCCCCCGTGTCTCTCTCTCGTCCCCCGTGTGTCTCTCTCTCGTCCCCCGTAGTGTCTCTCTCTCGTGTCCCCCGTGTGTCTCTCTCTTGTCCCCCGTGTGTCTCTCTCGTCCCCCGTGGTGTGTCTCTCTCTCTCTCTTGTCCCCCGTGTGTCTCTCTCTTGTCCCCCGTGTGTCTCTCTCTTGTCCCCCGTGTGTCTCTCTCTCGTCCCCCGTGGTGTCTCTCTTGTCCCCCGTGTGTCTCTCTCGTCCCCCGTGGTGTCTCTCTCTTGTCCCCCGTGTGTCTCTCTCTTGTCCCCCGTGTGTCTCTCTCTTGTCCCCCGTGGTGTCTCTCTCTTGTCCCCCGTGTGTCTCTCTCTTGTCCCCCGTGTGTCTCTCTCGTGTCCCCCGTGTCTCTCTCTCGTCCCCCGTGGTGTCTCTCTCTCGTCCCCCATGGTGTCTCTCTCTCGTCCCCCGTGTGTCTCTCTCTCGTCCCCCGTGGTGTCTCTCTCGTGTCCCCCGTGTCTCTCTCTCGTCCCCCGTGTGTCTCTCTCTTGTCCCCCGTGTGTCTCTCTCTCGTCCCCCGTGGTGTCTCTCTTGTCCCCCGTGGTGTCTCTCTCTCGTCCCCCGTGTTGTCTCTCTCTTGTCCCCCGTGGTGTCTCTCTCTCGCCCCCCGTGTGTCTCTCTCTCGTCCCCGTGTGTCTCTCTCTTGTCCCCCGTGTGTCTCTCTCTCGTCCCCCGTGGTGTGTCTCTCTTGTCCTCCATGTGTCTCTCTCGTCCCCGTATGTCTCTCTCTTGTCCCCCGTGGTGTCTCTCTCTCGTCCCCCGTGGTGTCTCTCTTTTGTCCCCCGTGGTGTCTCTCTCTCGTCCCCTGTGGTGTCTCTCTTTTCCCCCGTGTCTCTCTCTTGTCCCCCGTGGTGTCTCTCTCTCTCGTCCCCCGTGTGTCTCTCTCTCGTCCCCCGTGGTGTCTCTCTTTTCCCCCGTGTCTCTCTCTCTTTTCCCCCGTGTCTCTCTCTCTTGTCCCCCGTGGTGTCTCTCTCTCTCGTCCCCCGTGGTGTCTCTCCCGTGTCCCCCGTGTGTCTCTCTTGTCCCCCGTGGTGTCTCTCTCTCTTGTCCCCCGTGGTGTCTCTCTCGTGTCCCCCCGTGGTGTCTCTCTCTCGTCCCCCGTGGTGTCTCTCTCTCGTCCCCCGTGGTGTCTCTCTCTTGCCCCCCGTGTGTCTCTCTCTCGTCCCCGTGGTGTCTCTCTCTTGTCCCCGTAGTGTCTCTCGTCCCCGTATGCCTCTCTCTCGTCCCCCGTGTGTCTCTCTCTCGTCCCCCGTGTGTCTCTCTCTCGTCCCCCGTGTGTGTCTCTCTCTCGTCCCCCGTGCGTCTCTCTCTCTCGTCCCCCGTGTCTCTCTCTCTCGTCCCCGTGTCTCTCTCTCTCGTCCCCGTGTCTCTCTCTCTCGTCCCCCGTGTCTCTCTCTCGTCCCCGTAGTGTCTCTCGTCCCCGTATGCCTCTCTCTCGTCCCCCGTGTGTCTCTCTCTCTCGTCCCCCGTGTGTCTCTCTCTCTTGTCCCCCGTGTGTCTCTCTCTCGTCCCCGTAGTGTCTCTCTCTCGTCCCCGTAGTGTCTCTCGTCCCCGTGTGTCTCTCTCTCGTTCCCCGTGTCTCTCTCTTCCCCGTATGTCTCTCTCTCGTCCCCCGTGTGTCTCTCTCTTGTCCCCCGTGTCTCTCTCTCTCTCTCGTCCCTGTGGTGGCTCTCTCTTCCCCGTATGTCTCTCTCTTCCCCGTATGTCTCTCTCTTCCCCGTATGTCTCTCTCTCTCGTCCCCCGTGTGTCTCTCTCTTGTCCCCCGTGTCTCTCTCTCTCTCGTCCCCGTGGTGTCTCTCTCCCGTCCGTATCGCCCTCTCGTCCGCGTGTCCCCATCTCGCCCCTCTCGTAACCCACCTTAAAGAAGTCATCCTGGTGGACAACGCAACAGTTTGACAACACCTTCATCAGGCGATTCGTGAGCGTCGTCTTACCCCCGTTAGTCACTCTGCCGACAAGGGGGAACAAAGTCGCACAATACAAACATAAATTTTGATTTAAAGCTTTCGTGACTGCAGTAATTCATATTCTTAGCTCTCTCGGTAAAGTCACGTTGAAGGGAAACAATAAAATAATAGATGCATTTCACTCGGAGAGATATTTAATCAAAAGTTGAAATATATTTTTTATATATTTTATATTATTGTTTCCCTTCAACGTGACTTTACCGAAAGAGCTAAGAAAATGAAATACAAACATAGTTTACATAGCACCTGGAAGCATTTGAAGACATTGCACAGATTAAACGATAACAGCCAAACCGGCAATGCATCTTTGCAGTATTAAAACTGATAAGACGTATATATATTTAAAAAAAAACTCTCTCCATTTCCCCCTCTCCTTCGTTTTTATCATTATTCGATCAAAACGTATTCGATCGAATCTAGAACGCTTACATCTTCCTCAAGAAACACTTCGTTTGGTCAAAATAAACACACACAAAAAAAACAAGATGCATTTCACTCGGGAGAGATATTTAATCAAAAGTTTAAACGCTTTAATCAAACTTGTCTCATCAAAAGCACTTGGGGATATATTGACAGATTTGAGCAAAAAAATAACCACACGCTATATTCGTACGATATACAAAAAAATATATCAAACTTATTTGATAAATAAACCAAACTACTGTGTCAAGCGAAAGAAAAATTACAACACCCCATTAAAGCGATATAATCACAACGTACGCATTCGGCCTTTTAACGCAATTTTAACATTGACACACACAAACTACCCAGGTGTAAACTTCGTATGAGAGTCTCGCTTTAAACAAAGTATTTTGTCGGCTTTTCCCTCAGCACTTGTCGGCATCAAGTGTCAAAACTTGTACAGTTGGGACAAACGCTTTGCTTGGCGCCAATTTCAAAAGCACTTTCAAATTTGGCGGCAAAATGTCCCAACAACGACAACATTGGCGGCGCGTTAAAGTTTATGGACTCGCCAACGTTCAATAACATGCCTGGACCCAATGTTGCTGTTAAAATTACTCCGCGCTTACGCCTATATTTGTATAAAACTTTTGAGGTAAAAACGGTAAAAACATCGCCTCCATCGCTCAATTACAATCACTTACGCCTTTTCGTATCGATTCGATTAATCTCGGCATTGATTACTTCCAGCGCGATAATGCAGGCAACCGTACAGGAATCGATTCTAATCTCAATTAAACCACCAACCGATTCCTCACGCGGAAAGTCAACTGTAACGCAGGAACGCGCCTCGTGTTAACTTTAATTTTACAAGTTATTACAATTTAACAGGCGTACTTTAAATTAAAAAAAAAACCTGCTAACATTTCACAAGACGTCGCAAGGTTAACCTGAGATAACGAATTTGGAGGCCGCGCTCACTTACCCGCCAATAGCAATGATGAACTTCATGATGAGAATGTATGAACTCGAGCTAATAACCTCAAAAATTGAAGCTAATAATTTACAAAACACTTAACACAACAATACACAAAAACGCAAACAGTCACTGCTTACGTTTAAAGCAAAGGCTACCTACTACTTTCACTCATAATTGAAAGTTTTAAGTATACACTTTATATACTTGGCTATAATTAAGGACTTCCAGGAGCCTCAAACCGCCTTAAACCTGACGCAACTGCTCAATGTGAGGCGGGTGGGGGGTCTCCTATTTATATAGGCGGCGTGACGTCACCATAATGGGCGTGGCTGTGACGTACAGCCCCCGCCCACTTCCTCAGGCACGTGCGTCGGATATGAATAGACCGCGTAGCAGAATCATTAATGTACCGCTGGGACCCTATGGGGGTATCCACACGTGGTACGATGCCCTTTTGAGAGCCACCTCAGGTGTCTGGGTTATGGGTTGCGCGTGGTGGGCGTGTAAGGAATGGGGGGGGGGGGGTGTTAGGGGTTAGGCGGAGAGGATAGATAGGTTCTCATCGGAAATAGATGTGCCGTGTCTAGTTTGGCTGGTGTGGTTAGTATTAGGGCTAGTGTCTGGGTGGCTGGTGTGGTTAGAGTTAGGGCCAGTATCTGGGTGGCTGGTGTGGTTAGAGTTAGGGCCAGTATCTGGGTGGCTGGTGTGGTTAGAGTTAGGGCTAGTGTCTGGGTGGCTGGTGTGGTTAGTATTAGGGCCAGTGTCTGGGTGGCTGGTGTGGTTAGAGTTAGGGCTAGTGTCTGGGTGGCTGGTGTGGTTAGGGTTAGGGTCAGTGTCTGGGTGGCTGGTGTGGTTAGGGTTAAGGGCCAGTGTCTGGGTGGCTGGTGTGGTTAGGGTTAGGGCTAGTATCTGGGTGACTGGTGTGGTTAGCGTTAGGGCCAGTGTCTGGGTGGCTGGTGTGGTTAGGGTTAAGGGCCAGTGTCTGGGTGGCTGGTGTGGTTAGTGTTAGGGCTAGTGTCTGGGTGGCTGGTGTGGTTAGGGTTAGGGCCAGTGTCTGGGTGGCTGGTGTGGTTAGTGTTAGGGCTAGTGTCTGGGTGGCTGGTGTGGTTAGTGTTAGGGGCAGTATCTGGTTTGGCTGGTGTGGTAGGGTTAGGAGCAGTGTCTGGGTGGCTAGTGTGGTTAGAGTTAGGGCTAGTGTCTGGGTGGCTGGTGTGGTTAGGGTTAGGGGCAGTGTCTGGGTGGCTGGTGTGGTTAGAGTTAGGGCCAGTTTCTGGGTGGCTGGTGTGGTTAGTGTTAGGGCCAGTGTCTGCGTGGCTGGTGTGGTTAGTGTTAGGGCTAGTGTCTGGGTGGCTGGTGTGGTTAGTGTTAGGGCTAGTGTCTGGGTGGCTGGTGTGGTTAGTGTTAGGGCTAGTGTCTGGGTGGTTGGTGTGGTTAGTGTTAGGGTCAGTGTCTGGGTGGCTTGTGTGGTTAGGGTTAGGGGCAGTATCTGGGTGGCTGGTGTGGTTAGGGTTAGGGCTAGTGTCTGGGTGGCTGGTGTGGTTAGGATTAGGGGCAGTGTCTGGGTGACTGGTGTGGTTAGCGTTAGGGCCGTGTCTGGGTGGCTGGTGTGGTTAGGGTTAGGGGCAGCGTCTGGGTGGTTGGTGTGGTTAGGGTTAGGGTCAGTGTCTGGGTGGCTAGTGTGGTTAGGGTTAGGGCTAGTGTCTTGGTGGCTGGTGTGGTTAGGGTTAGGGCCAGTGTCTGGGTGGTTGGTGTGGTTAGAGTTAGGGCCAGTATCTGGCTGGCTGGTGTGGTTAGGATTAGGGGCAGTGTCTGGGTGGCTGGTGTGGTTAGTGTTAGGGCTAGTGTCTGGGTGGCTAGTGTGGTTAGGGTTAGGGCTAGTGTCTGGGCGGCTGGTGTGGTTAGAGTTAGGGCCAGTGTCTGGGTGGCTGGTGTGGTTAGGGTTAAGGCCAGTGTCTGGGTGGCTGGTGTGGTTAGTGATAGGGCCAGTGTCTGGTTTGTCTGGTGTGGTTAGTGTTAGGGCCAGTGTCTGGGTGGCTGGTGTGGTTAGTGTTAGGGCCAGTGTCTGGGTGGCTGGTGTGGTTAGTGTTAGGGCCAGTGTCTGGGTGGCTGGTGTGGTTAGTGTTAGGGCCAGTGTCTGGTTTGTCTGGTGTGGTTAGTGTTAGGGCCAGTGTCTGGGTGGCTGGTGTGGTTAGTGTTAGGGCCAGTGTCTGGTTTGTCTGGTGTGGTTAGTGTTAGGGCCAGTGTCTGGGTGGCTGGTGTGGTTAGTGTTAGGGCCAGTGTTTGGTTTGGCTGGTCTGGTTAGGGTTAGGGCCAGTGTCTGGTTTGGCCGGTGTCTGATTTCTGACGCGCCCTGCCTGGACATCTGTGACAAAGAACTTCAAAGGTCATCAAATTCCTCCAAGATAAATAAAGATTCTGATTCTGCTTGGCTGGTAATGGTGAGGACATGGGCTTGAAGCAAGTGGTTGGTTGGTGTGGTGAGTGGCAGAGAACAAGGTTAGTTGATCGTACGTACACGCACGTTAAACTTCTTTCGCGCCGTACGTAGCCTACCGTGCGATGATCGGAGGGTCTCGATGGGACTTGAGCATGGCATTTAACATCAGCACCGACCAAAAGCGGCACGCAAAGTCCCTCGCTGCCAATGAACAATCCACCCTCTTCCCTCCTGCTCCCCGGCTGTGTGATGATGGGTTGTCGGGGGAGGGTGGAAAAGTTCCCGAATCGGTGGCCAACTCTGGCTTGAGGGCGGAGGTCAAAACGACAAATCGGTTGCACGAAAAAAAAGACAGCCGCTTTATGATTTCATCGGCCGCGTAAATACCTCGCGGAAACTTCAACGCGTAGTCGTAGGGCGATCGCGACCATCATTATCCATAATAGGTTTTCTCTTTGGGGGGTTAAATCGCGTAAATATAAAAGCGTCGTTAAACCTGCCAACACCCGACACAGCTAAATCAGCAAGGCTTCGTCGCGTAACACCAAACATGGCAAATCCGTTACTGGTACAGCGCGAACCGGTTGTGTGTTGGAGAGTAAATCCACAACAACAGAGACAAGTAGAGTACTACGGAGGCATCGCCCGACAGAACCCGTGGCCGTCGCTTCATAGCCACGGTCCCGTCTTCACATGACAACGAAGAAGTCACTCGACAATGAAGAAGTCACTAGACAATGAAGAAGTCACTCGACAATGAAGAAGTCACTTGACAATGAAGAAGTCACTCGACAATGAAGAGGTCATTCGACAATGAAGAAGTCACTAGACAATGAAGAAGTCACTAGACAATGAAGAAGTCACTCTACAATGAAGAAGTCACTAGACAATGAAGAAGCCACTAGACAATGAAGAAGCCACTAGACAATGAAGAAGTCACTGGACAATGAAGAAGTCACTCGACAATGAAGAAGTCACTAGACAATGAAGTCACTAGACAATGAAGAAGCTACTAGACAATGAAGAAGTCACTAGACAATGAAGAAGTCACTCGACAATGAAGCCACTCTACAATGAAGAAGCCCATCGACAATGAAGAAGACACTCGACAATGAAGAAGTCACTCGACAATGAAGAAGTCACTAGACAATGAAGAAGTCACTAGACAATGAAGAAGTCACTCGACAATGAAGAAGTCACTAGACAATGAAGTCACTAGACAATGAAGAAGTCACTAGGCAATGAAGAAGTCATTCGACAATGAAGAAGCCACTAGACAATGAAGAAGTCACTCGACAATGAAGAAGTCACTAGACAATGAAGAAGTCACTAGACAATGAAGAAGTCACTCTACAATGAAGAAGTCACTAGACAATCAAGAAGCCACTAGACAATGAAGAAGCCACTAGACAATGAAGAAGTCACTGGACAATGAAGAAGTCACTCGACAATGAAGAAGTCACTAGACAATGAAGTCAATAGACAATGAAGAAGCTACTAGACAATGAAGAAGTGACTAGACAATGAAGAAGTCACTCGACAATGAAGCCACTCTACAATGAAGAAGCCACTCGATAATGAAGAAGACACTCGACAATGAAGAAGTCACTCGACAATGAAGAAGTCACTAGACAATGAAGAAGTCACTAGACATTGAAGAAGTCACTCGACAATGAAGAAGTCACTAGACAATGAAGTCACTAGACAATGAAGAAGTCACTAGGCAATGAAGAAGTGACTCGACAATGAAGAAGTCACTCGATAATGAAGTCACTAGACAATGAATAAGCTACTAGACAATGAAGAAGTCACTAGACAATGAAGAAGCCACTCTACAATGAAGAAGCCACTCGACAATGAAGAAGTCACTCGACAATGAAGAAGTCACTAGACAATGAAGAAGCCACTAGACAATGAAGAAGTCACTAGACAATGAAGAAGCCACTAGACAATGAAGTCACTAGACAATGAAGAAGCCACTCTACAATGAAGAAGTCACTGGACAATGAAGAAGTCACTCGACAATGAAGTCACTAGACAATGAATAAGCTACTAGACAATGAAGAAGTCACTAGACAATGAAGAAGCCACTCTACAATGAAGAAGCCACTCGACAATGAAGAAGTCACTCGACAATGAAGAAGCCACTAGACAATGAAGAAGCCACTCGACAATGAAGAAGTCACTAGACAATGAAGAAGCCACTCTACAATGAAGAAGCCACTCGACAATGAAGAAGTCACTAGACAATGAAGAAGTCACTCGACAATGAAGAAGTCACTCGACAATGAAGAAGTCACTAGACAATGAAGAAGTCACTAGACAATGAAGAAGCCACTAGACAATGAAGAAGTCACTCAACAATGAAGAAGCCACTAGACAATGAAGAAGCCACTAGACAATGAAGAAGCCACTAGACAATGAAGAAGTCACTAGACAATGAAGTCACTAGACAATGAAGAAGCCACTCTACAATGAAGAACCTACTGGATAATGAAGAAGCCACTCTACAATGAAGAAGCCTCTGGATAATGAAGAAGCGACTCACTTCCAACAACATCCACGGCAGCTTGAAACATTCAGCTTAACGCGTAGCCTTTCACGAACATTTTGTATCCATAATATTATGTATTTACGCGATGTAATGTAAATATTATTCAGTCTGCCCCCCCCCACCCTCCCAGACGCAACCATCGCGGGGCTCGCGAGCAGCTCACACAAATCCCACTTTGGCCCCGCACCCCCCGGTAGGCAACTGCGTGTACATGTGAGGCGCAGTAGGAAGAGGCTGCTTCAACGTGCGCCCAGTCGTCGTACGAGATACGTGCAGCTCGCAGATTTCCAGGG